ATTAACACGTACAACCATTAACACACAGCTCAGGTGGCAGCACACTGGCGCTCTTTTGAACTACAAACTCCCTCAGTGTTATGTGTACTCGAATGCTATTGGTCCATGCAGTGACCCCAACAGCCAATCAGAGCGAGCCTTGTAAACCTGCAGAAACAACTGAAGTTGTTGTCCTATTTCCTCGACCGGTAATGTCTGAGGACGGTGAGTGAGTTACGTTGAATTACTTTTATTTATCCTACACGAATTCTACTTTTCGGCGGCGCAATTTGCTCACTGATGTTTTTTTAATGCACGGAGGATTTCGACGGGGGGAGACAGCTAATGTTAACTTTTAGTCTGTCGCCGCCATTATACCACCGAAGAAGCATATCCCGCCCTCCTTCTTGGGTCTTTTTCTTCTTCTTCTCCTTGCGCTGGAGAGAAGCTCCACTGGTCCAAGTGGTAAAAGCGGGTTTTAGTGGCTCAGCTAACAGGAGTTTGATTCCCGCTGTCTGTGGAGGGTCTCACGGGGGTTTTATTAGCTCCTCGGGTTAGCCAAGAAGCTAGCGAGAACACGCCGGTTAGCCATGTTGCTAGAAAGATGGCCATCGTTGTAATGTTAGCAGCACTGGTTGGAGATAATGTGAAGACAGACAGCAGCTAACTACCCTAGCTGCTGTCTGTGGTAGCTCGGGTCAGACCTCCAGCAGCACGACCAAAAGGGGGGAAGCTAACGTGGAGCTAACGACAGTGCATGGGCTGTTGTTGTTATAGGAATTAGGATTATTTGTGTGCTTGTGAGTCAACGTTGTTTGTGCACTCTGGCTGGCGTTTGAGGTCATCCTCTGCAGTGCAGGTCGTGGAATAACACTCGTGGCTTTTAAGAAACATTTTAACTCCCATCTGGCTCACTAATGATGTATAAAAAAAGGAAATGACAGCTGGGTGCTTGCAGGTGAAAGCAGATCACCTCATTGATCGTTTAACGTTACAGCCTGACTGAGGTGTTGCAGTCTTGCGCAAAGCCAGAGGTTTATATCTGACCAGCTGTGCCAGGACAGCTGCTGATAGGAACACACATTACTGCACCATCATCCTATCATGGGGCATTATTATTATGTCGTAACTGGTTATTTAAATACGTGTGGTCATGCTCTTTAGTCCCATTAAAAGACCAAAACCAACAATGAATTGATTGCCTGTGTAGCAGAGGCCTGATAAAAGCTGATTACTGTGTCACATTGTTGTCCAGAAACCATTAAAAACACACCACAGAGCTGCGCCGTTGCACTGACATGTTACTTAATTACAATAAATGGGTTTTACTGTCTTTTTTTTTTTATTTGTTGCTCTCACATACACTGTCCCGTAAATAGTCACTAAATTACCACGTCTGCAGCTGCAAATAGTCCCGAACAAATACACCTTATATTCTTGTTAGAGTAACTTTTCTTCCCAGCTATTTTAGGTAAGAAAGTTTTTTTTTTTAAGGCAAGGTGCCTTTTTAAAAAATGAATCTATATATTTTTGCCCCATTTTCAGAGATTTACTTATTCCATAGGAACAGTTTTTCTTTGGGCTGAGTGTCACAGACAAGCTGGGGAAGTTGGAAAGCAGTGAGAGAAAGACTCACAGCATTATTATTTTTGGCTTTAAAAAATATGTAATATTGCCAGCCATATCCTTATAACCTTGTCTGCTAATTAAAATGGGCAACTACAAGGTCTTTCAGCGAGTTTCTTTGATTTGTAAGGTTCTTTATTTTCGAAGTATTTTGCAGGTGCAGATTGAGGGCTGATTGGGATCCAGTGAGTAGGAGGGATTGTTTTCTTTTATAATAGTTACATGCAGAAGCAGCAGAAGCTAGACTGCCCTTCCAGTGGGTCCAATTACGGCACATATCTAATTGATGTAGAAGCTAAACATCGACTCTGCCCATGAAATGGCAGAGAGACAGAAAGACTTGGCAAGGGCTCTACCTGAGCAGCAACCTGCATGGTCAAAATAACAATTAGCCCAGGCTCAGCTCAGGGTGAGTCATCTTGGCAACCCCAGAGTTAGCCTCCTGGCACTTGTGTCCAAGCTGTTGTCTTGATAATATATGCAGGCACGTCTTTTCATCAGGAGAGGGCAATGTTCACAACCTAACTTCAAAAGTAATGCACTGGTGGTTAGGCATCTGTATGAAGCTCACGTTGTGATATTACTTTCATATTCTAAGCATGCTGAGTTTTGTGAACTGTTTCACCTTTATCTAAATCAGTTTTGCATTGCTGCGTTTCTTATGAAATGATTTTGATTTCTAATCCCCTGGCAGCCATGGAGAGTTCGTCCGTGTACATGTGCTTCCCCTGCTACCAGGAGTTTAACACCCTGGAAGAAGTACTGGAGCACCAGTTGACGTGCACAGCTGAGGATGAGCAGCCAGACACATCTGGAACCACCACTCTGTCGCTTCCAGCTCTACAGGCTCGGGTAAATACTTGCACAGTCAACAATTTCACCATGTTGCCTTTTTGTTGAGGTGTTTTGAGTGCAGGCTCTTGAGTTTAGCTGAAAATTGAACAGAAAAACATCAGTATTGTGATGGTGTGTCCTGACATGACCAGCAGTGGGATCGCATAAAAGCCTCTGAATCAGATCTTGAGAATGACATTGAAGGGAAACTTTAGTCATAAATTGACAATGCTCTGCTTCTTATCATAGTTACAGTGACCTTGATCAGAGCACTTAACATTGAGTTGTTTGTAATGAATAACTGACTCATTGCAAGGTGTTGTTGTGTATTAATATCTGATTTAGGTGTACACTGATGTCATATTTTTAATCAGCCTACTCTCATTGATATAAATGGGGTGGACAAAATAATAAAAACAAACTGCAGCCTTCAAAATGACCATAGAGTTGGATCAACACCTGCACTGCATTAAAACATTGTTAGAACAATAAGTACAAACGGCATAATCACTCTAAGACAACTAAGAATGAGTACAGACAATATTCACTTGGGATGCATAAACACATAGGAGATGCTAAAATAAAGTAAAAACAAAAATGCATCATTAATAGCAAACACATGATTATATATTATGAGTTATAAACCATACATTTAAAAAAAATACTGTTCATTACATGTGGAGATCTTTACCTATTACCAATACCTATAATGTATACATTTTTTGCCCCCCTTTTTTCTGGCACTGGAACTTGTACATGTGCATACACTACACTGGCAAACCTATCAAAGACAAATATCAATGTTACTACGTCTTTGCACCAGAACATCTGTCAGACAAATAAATTGGCAGTGGCTGTGTAGTGAGGTCTGCAGATTATGCAACAGTTTTTCTAAGTACATACATAAGTGCTACCTGGAACTGCTTTCTGTCTAGCGTAATAGCAAAATAACACATTAGCACATTGTTTATCAGAGTAATGAGTCCCTAGTGAGGCAAACAGGTGTAAAAGGCAAACATGTGGAGGTGCTAAATAGTGGATTCCATATGGATTATGGAGGTTTTAAAAAAAGTCAGGCCTCATATTTCAGAATATGTAACAGTACATAATTGGAATAAGCTCGGATCATACATAGAGTATGAGTTGTTGGTTGAGCTCTGTGTTGATGTAACGTTACTGCATACAAGATACAGACTCCTGCTTAATGGATAGGTTTTTGGTCCTATGAAGCAGTACAAAAGCAACATGGTTAAAAGAAATAGACAAAAAGACAGTGCTGCATTTTTTTGGGGGAATTAATTAGATAAGTCACTATAGAGGAAAATGTTAGGGAGTGATATGATTAAGGTTGCATGCCAGATTGAAGCCCAGGCTACCATATTTACATGGTATCCGCCAAGGCAGCTGAATCACCAGTGTTCCTCATGGTCCAATGACAATGAACAATTTTTGTTCAAAAGAATGAGAAAAAGAACCAAATTGAATTAATATTTTTTATAATATTAGTTTTCCCCTCTGTTTGCTTCTGTATGTAAATTCAGTTGTTTTGGCTCATTGTGTATTTGAGAGGCCTGTGGATTTTTGCATTTTATTCAGTATTTTTTACATTATGTGTTCTGTTCGGAATATAATATTTTGGGATGAATTTCATCAAACTGCTGAGCTCGATTAATTCTGAGTTCTACGAAGACGCTATTTGAATTGCAAAGTTTCAAAGTTGTATAATGGGGTAGGTTATTCCCTTTAACTTTGACATATTGAGCTGAGTCTTGGTGTGACTGGCACTTTTTTCTTTTGCCTTTTCCCATGACAGCTTCAGAAAGCCCCCAGGGTTAAAAGCAGTCATTGGCCCTCGTTTAGCAGTAGGGCACGGCTGTCTGAGCTTGTGCCCAGACTTCCATCCTTACAGTCTTCAACACACGTCCATAAAGCACAGTGACACTCATGACAGACAAATTGCATCCTGAGTCGCCAGCGGGAAGAAGAGCATGAGGAATACATCAGTCAGTGCCATACTTTCTCCTGATGGATCGCTCATTGGCCCTCTTAGATGAAACAGCTGGAGAAACACTGTAAAACCTGGGTACCTTATGGCTTTCTGGCCTTTACTTATAAGTTTATATAAGCATCCTCACTTCATTAGTTAGATTACCATAATACATGTGTATATTATGGGACATTGCTATAAAACAATGGCTGTTTATATCCCAAATGGATGCAAACATTTTTTTTTTTACAAATGTTGGAATCAAGCTGGAATCAATTTTATAGAAATTTCTCCTCCAACGTGTCCACTAAAAAAGTAAAAGTTTGCCTTTACCGTCATATAGTGCATCAAATTTGGTTCACCTGCTTTTCACTAAACAAATTCACACCTCCTTCCGATTTCCTTTTTGGATCAAAGTGTGACTCATCTGCAGCATCTGCAAACTTCCTTATCAACATGCTAAAAATATGCACTTCACATATGGCACCACTAGAAGCTCCAGTAGTAATTAACTTCACAAGGTCTGCACTATAAAACCTTAGATCCTAGAATGTTTTTTGTTTTACAGATTGTAATACGTCAACTCCATGGGTCAAGTGTTGCTTGACCTTACATTATCCATAACTTACTTAGATGTATATGTGCTGCTATTCTGGCTGATAATGCTAATAAAGTCTGTTTTAAAGAAGAGCTGTTGCATAGTAAGTGACGTTTTTTGTAATTTCATTAACTGTAATCAACAGCAAAAATGTAAGCAGTGGATACATGCCACAACCTGTGAAATAGATGATTCTAATCATTATTCAATATTCAGCATTAAATTAGCATGTCCAAGTATTTAGGAAGGTCAGTTGCTAAATAGGCAGTGCAGACAAAGCTTGTAAGACAGAGCTGGGGCCTTATCTCCACACTTATGTGTACCATTCACTGAATGTGAATGTGTGTTTCTTTTAATTTGGGGTATCATCCTCTACTGAAGCTTCAACTCCAATTAATAATACACAGTCAAGCATAATCATTTTGGTCAGACTGAAACTGCACAGAAGCTGTTCAGTAATTTAATATTTCTTGCAGTATAAACTAAAAACGTTGTGCATTTAATGACAAAGGCCTAAAGACTTAAAAATCCTTACAAAAACGTATTTTTCTTAGCTGTGTTTTCTTTGAGGTCTGTGAAAGAAAAAGACAGAAACAGTTTTTTTTCTGGTTGCATGGTCTCACTTTTAAGTCCTGTCCAAGGTTTTCTTGCAGGATATGAAAAGCCTTGTTCACCCTGCCCACTTATCAGAAGAATTCAAGTTTAGACTGGTGGTGTTTGATATCAAGATGTTAGCCTTCAACAGCATATTTCGCGCATGAAATCTCTAACAGCTTTTATGGATTACAGTGCAGGTGCAGGAGTAATGCTTTTTTGGAGTAGGGTCCTCTAGACCATGTCATGTACTGGTTAGATTGTACAGAGAACTTCTTCTATCTGCATTTTAGATGTTAAACATCCCCCATTGTGTAGAGTTGGAGTACAGAAGATAAAAAAACATTCTTTACATTCCCAGTGAGTTCAAACGGTCTATCTTGATTTTGGACTAATCCTGACTTTCTGCTCCAATACAGGCTTGAGAGATAAAGACAAAAAAGCAGTTTGTCAGAACAGGCAAAGTTATATTCTGTATCACCTTCATAAAAATGACCCTTTCTTGGCGAGAGTCCTACATTCTAACTAACTGAAAGCAACTCGTGTCTCACCTGTGATGTAATGTTTTAACAAAATGTGTAATTCAAAACAAATTATCATTTATTATACACTAGGAATAGCAAACCACTTAAATTCAATTTGTAGAGAAGATACACTTATACAGTATTTTAAAGATATTTGCTGAAGGAACACAAACTCACACTTAATTTTCAAAAGCCCATATGTGTAGAATTGTATAGTGAGACGCCAGTGAAAAATGGTGCCCTTTATGTCTTCATTTACATGTGGAATGATCATGCGTCTGTATTTGTATAAAGAAAAATGCATGTTAATGCAATCAGGATGCTATTGAATTAGCCAGACCACCTCTGGAGGTGGCCTTCTGTATTTGCAAAACAGAATGCTAAAACAAAAGCCCATAAATCATTACAGTATGTGAGACATGGTGAGCTGTCATGATTGAGGCAGTTTCAGAAGTCTTTAACCTCGACCTTGATGTTCTGTTCTTATCATCTAAATAGATTGAGAAAGCAAATGTAAAACCCGGTGGAGTGACCCATCCAACCCTGATGGGCTTTTTTGATAGTTATCGCCCAGGCCGAGGCCTTATCTTGGCTGCCTGGAGCTCTTGGAGGAACCTTGGCTCTAAACACATGCTGCTCTAATTGACCTCAGTACCCCAACACTGAATTCTCATCCCTCATTTGCCAGGAAGAATAAAATAAAATAAAAACACTGCAGGTTGAAACAGCTATTTGATTAGTATTGCAAGTAGTAATTTAATTTGTACACAGAACAAGTGAAACATTGTGGATAATCTCTTGATTTCTTCCTTTTTCCTCCCTTGTCTTTGCAGCAACAGGTAATAAATATATCAAAGACAGTTGCAGCCCAACAGATTGAAGTCCAAGCAGGACAAACCTTTGTGCAACCTGTTAAGAGTGCACTCAAGCAGGAAGAAGACAGTGCAACACTGACATCGGACCAACCCAGAATCCTTTACCAGTGTGGGGACTGTGATGAACTTTTCAAGAGCCTGGACCTTTGGCAGCAACACCGTAAAGAAGAGACATGTCAGCAGCCTGCCCCTGAGAGAAATTCACAACCTGATTCACAACCTGACACAGAGACGATTTTAGCTCAGAGCTTGAATTCAGATTTAAATCCAGATGATTCTTATCTCTCAACGGGTGAAACTACCCAAAAGCCGGAGCCAGTGGAGAAACTCCTAACGGAAGAAGATGGGCAGCTCCTTGCAGATGCCTCTTTAGCTCAGAGCTCTGATCTTCCTGTTTCTGACGTAGCTGCCACGACCGCTAATCCAGAGGATTCGTCTCCCAAAAAGAGAGGGGCTAACAAAAAGCCTAAGCCTGAACCAGTGCTCCTGTGTGTGGACTGTGGCTCATGCTTTGGCCTTGTGTCTGAACTAGTGGCCCACCGCAGGACCCAACACGGCTTTGAGGAAGCTCTGCACCGCTGTTCTGTGTGCGGGGAAAGTTTTCTAAACACCACCCTTTTTCTCTACCACCGCAAGCAGCACCGGCAGAAAGGGGAGGAAAAGGTCGTAGCGGTTCCTGAAGAGACACTAGAGGAAGTTTGCACTCCGAGCAATGGGACTGATGAGCAGGGACAGGATGCCACTCCCTCCACCACTAGTGTCCCCTTCAGTTTCACACAGCCCGAATTGTTCATGTGCACCCAGTGTGGGCAGAGCTTCAGCGATGAGGGGGGGCTGGTCGCGCATCGCAAGCAGAAGCATGACCTGAAGGAGCCACTACACAGCTGCCCCCATTGTGGCGAGAGCTTCATGAACACCACCCTTTACCTGTACCATCGCCGGCAGCACCGCCTCACATCTGGGACAGAGATGACGGATGGAGCTGAAACTGGTGACGAGGCAGCCACCACTAACCCCCAGGATACCCCACAGAGCTCTAAGCGACTCCTTTCTTCGCCTGCCTCTGCTAGTGAATCAGGTTCACCACTTCCTAAGAGAAGCAGGCCCTCTTTCAGGATTCTGAGTGGTGCAAATGTGCTCAAAGGTAAGAAAATATTTGCATTGAATCCCCATTTGGGCAAAAATAAAGACATTTGTCCGTTGATGTTTTGGTCCTTAATGAACTGGTTTTTGTGTTGCCAGGAAACAAGGGTTCAGGCACCAAAGAGGAATCAGAGGGCAGCGCTGCAGCAGACTCCGACAACACCAACCACCCTCCACCTGCCAAGCTTCTGCAGGACTGGGCCCGCACACCACTACCCCATGTTTGTCCCTACTGTGGCAAAACCTTCACTCGACGTGTCTTCCTCCGCACCCATGTCTACAGCCACACCGGAGAAAAGCTGTTCACGTGCAAGGTGCTAATCAAAATTTAATCAAAACTTGTCCTTTCTTCAGTCTGAGGAATAATTTTCTTTGTAAATGTCATTTATGTCATTCAGTTGACATTGGCGAGAGGAGGTTTGAACCTCCAACCTCACTATATTTGAAAAATTCTCCAGTGTCTCTGCACAATGGAAGTATATGGAAAATTCTGAAATACATACAATATACAATAATATGATATACAACTTTATTTATTCCCTTACAAGAGGGTCTTGTGAACTGTTTTAAATACAACTATGGCATTTGTTGTTGTTGTTGTTGTTGTGAAGGTGTGCACAAAGTCCTTCACTAACTCCCAGAGCCTGCTGCGCCACAGTATGAGCCACACGGGCAGCAAGCCCTACAGCTGCAATGTTTGTGGCAAAAACTTCTCCCAGGCAGCCACCCTGAAGAGACACCAACGCATCCACACATCATCACTGCCTCGGCGCAAGCGTGGACGCAAACCGGTACGCTCTTTACCATTTTCTTTTTAACTAAAATACCTTTTGCTTTGGTAGATAACTTATTTTGAAATGAAAACCGTTAGTATTTTCTAAAAATAATAATATTTTTGGTAAATAACTTGCTGTGAAATCCTTTTTTATTGAGATTGACTGTTGTTTCTCTTAATTCAGGTGTGTACTCTGGACAATGAGGGAGCTGCTCATCTCTTCGCTTGCCCTCACTGCCCCTCGCGGTTTAACACGGAGGATCAGCTTAACCATCACAAGTAATAATAATAACAACAACAATAACACTTAAATAACGTTAGTTGTTCAGCATTCTTCATTTGTAGTATAAGTGTAGGCGGACATAACTACATGTCACACACACACATTACATACTGTATATATAACACTCTAACTAGCTCTATATGTCTGGATTTCTATAGAGACCAGAGATTGTCAATATTCAATCATTTCCAACCCTGTTTACCGCATAAATACATTAGAATTAATGTTCTAAACACAACCCAGGACAGGATTTAGATAAACCTCCTCCCGTAGTAGCTGAGCCGTGTCCGACTACTGAGCAAGACCTTAAAGCTGTGTAGCAAAGGCGCTGACTGAGATGTCTGGGTGCCCTTGAGCCTCAGCCACAATATGATTGACAGACAGAGGCCCAGTAAATTAAGATGATAATGATAACAACCCAGGATGGGGGGAGAGAGCCTGGTTCTATCCTACCAGGTTGAGCCAGGTGGAGAGGTAAAATGTGATATAATAATGTGTGTGTGTGAGAGAGCGCATTTTATTTGGTTTTTGCTATAGCACATTGGACTTGATCTAGATGTGGATGTGAATTTTAACCCCAGTCTTTAATTTCAAATCAATGTGCTGGAGAGCCCCCTAAAAAACATAATTGTTCAAATACTCGCATTACACCTGTGTTTTGTCTTCATATCGACTGCGACAACCAGTGGTGTTTGACCTCAGAATTTCCTGCATATACCCTGGACCAAGGATATTGTTTTATCCTGAAGATATTCAACGATCAACACATTGGGTTAAGATTGTTTTGTTTATTTCCAAGTTCAAGAATTAACCTTCAGCTTAACAAAGATATTTAGTGTGTCGTACTAGCAGTGTACATACACCATTACCCCTACTTATAGAACATCTGGCTGGGAAAGGAGGTGACCCTGACTGAAATTTTAATTCTCCTAGCTGCCTCAGGGTCAGATGTCCCTGAAATATTGATTTCTGTTGTCTATTTAACAGGGAACAGAAACAACGTGGCCTCTGATACGGGCCTTGAGAGGTCCTTGCGCATCACATCTAGCATCCCACTATACTTTAAGTGACTTTTGTAGTTGAGTACTTTTGCTCTGTAATATAAAAATAATACATACATGTGTATGTGTGCAATATTTAATGGAGCAGCAGTATGTTTCATGAACTTCAACATCATCTGTGTTTGTTCTGATTACGAGAAGCTGCGTAAAAAACCTGTATTTTATTTTGTCCATGCTGTGAAAACAGGCTTGATGCAGCATTAGGTGAATACATCCTAACACTTCTCTCCTCCCCTAAGGCTATATCCAGCGTAACGTTATGCAATGGATAAATATAGTCTTTCATGTCCTACCTCTGACTCCTCCTAGTTTATTGCTGTTCTTTTATCTCCAGCCACTATACACTCAGCTAATACCCCTTATTTAACCTGAAGCACTGCTAAGCACATACTTGCTGGTAATCCTCCTATAAGTCACATATAGGGTGGCAGCTTAAAACCAAAACATGACTTTTTCGCCCTTCTTTAAGTCTTTAATCTTTGAACTTATACATAATTATTTATTGTAATTGTTTGTACAACTATTCTATGTTCCTGTGAGACATCTCTGTGTCCATGTCCTCTTTTTACAGGTTAAAACAAGTTCAAAACTTATCAATAGTTTGCTAAATAGTTACAGCACTTGTGTGAATATGTGTGTTTTTATGTATTAAACAGACTCCTCCACACCAGCCATCCATTCCCTTGCCCCGAATGTGGAGAGGCCTTCAAACGCAGGAAAGACCTGGACCTGCACTCGCTCACTCACCAAGGTGAGAGTTCAGGGCTCAGCCTGGCATATATATCATTCACACAGCCACCTGAAGCTAACCAGAAACAATATACAACAGTCATCTGTGCTGGAGTGTTTGTCATTAAATATATTTTATGTCCCATATCTAACATCCTTCCACTGTGTGACCATTTCCTCTCCTCTGTCTTTGATCTGTCTCTATGATAACATTCAGGAAGATTAAAGATGAGACCAAATGTGGTAAACATATGAAGAAATCAGATTCAAGCCCCCATGCCTGCTTGTAATGGAAATTAAATATGATGTTATTCAGTGCAGCATGCAGTGAATTACTATTGATTAATGCAAAGTCGGCGATAAATGCCCCCATCAGTTAGCCTGGGTGGCCTGTCTTGTTTATTTACAAATGTACATCCATGTTATATGTGCATTGTTCCTCCTATGCATTAAGTCAATGACTTTCCATTGATTTGCGTGCCTTGTGAAACGGAGGAGTAAGGTGGAGGTAAATGAATTGGGGGGTGTTGAACGTCCACCTCATTAGTTAAGCTTGAAGAGTCAGCGTGCAGCAGGGGTCAGAGGTACGTGACTCCTCTGAGAGAGATGATTGGAGCGATTGATCCATTGATCATTCCAGGGCCATAGGCAAAGATTGTCCTTATTAAAGGTTTAATTAGAGCATCCCAATGGGGAGCAGAGTGGATCGTCCCCACTGGGATAGACAGCACAGATGGTTAGCAGATTGCAAGATGTTGGCATGACGACCTATGGACATGCTGATGAACTCGGTGTCAGCGATTTTCCAGCCAGGTTTTCAAGAGCAACCCAGTGAGAGTGTGGGTTTGCTTTGCCAAACGACAACTAAGGCACCAGCTGATTAGAGAGGAACTGATTAGTTTGTTAATTGATTAGCCAACTGACAGAAAATTCATCTGCAGCAATTTTGACAGTCTATTAATCGCTTCAATTAAGATTCAAACAAAAATGCCAAATATTTGCTGGTTCTGGGTTCTCAGTTGGGATGATTTGTGTCTTTTATTTGGTTATGCCACTGTAAATTTGTAGGTTTTGGACAAACAAGATGTCACACTGGGCTCTGCAAAATTATGACTTTTTTTTGTTATTCTGACCTTTCAGAAACCAAATGATTTAATCTGTTAATAACAAACCAGTTTAAATCAGTTAATAATGAAAATATCTGTGAATAATGCTTGTTTTTTAATCTGTCAATAATTCAACAGTTAAATCGATTCAGCTACAAAATGTGAAAAAATGCCCTTTGCAATTTTCCAGAGACCAAGGTGATTTCTGTATTCTTGTTTTGTCTGACAAACAGTCCAAAAACCAAAAAACATTAAATTTACTATATTGTAAATGCCAAATCAAAATAGTTTGATTCATTTTCTGACTAATCCATTAACCAATCAACAGGCCTTTTTTTTCACAGCAAACATTTTGTTATTGTAGGAGAAGCAGAGGTGTTAATAATAACATGGAAGATTCCTCTGTGCTCTTTAAGTCATGACAGTGTGACAGTGAGCCAAACATGCCCTGAAACTAAAGCAGCTAAATGGAATTCATCCATTATAAATGTTTTATTTACTTTAGTTTTTCCTGCTGTGACTTGTCAAAACGTCTTAATTGGAAAAGGCGTATCGTTTAATCACTCATTACAACACAGTGTATATTTTAGCATACATTTGTTGAATTAAACTCTCCGTTTGTGTTCTAAGCAACCAGTGACCACAGGTACTTTCCTTGTTGATGCTGAAAAACTGTCTGCTTCTGAATGTTTGGGCACCGTTTCCCATCACCTGTTACTGCACAATTGTTGGCACAACAGCTTGCAATCAACAAGCTCAAAACAGCAATCTGATAATTAGCATGGCGCGGGAGCTATCTTGTAGTATGAAGACAGACTATGACCACCTGTCTAACACTGTTCCCTTGCAGACAAGCAGCCAGCGACATGTCTCCACTGTTCATCCCAGTTTGTGAACCAGTCGGTGCTGGAAATCCACATGCAGCGTTGCCCTACCACAGAGGAGGAGAAGAATGCTGGTCGTGGACGGGGTCAGGGCCGGGGCCGATGCACCGGACAGGTTGGGAGCTTTGAATACCATAAATGATTATTCTATTTATTTCTAGCACCATTTACTTTTCCAAGATCCAAGATGTTTTTAACAAGGAAAGAAGAAATGTGGAATGTGGGGCTAGCAAAAGCAAGCGACATCTAACAAAGGTCCCCAGTTGTGATCAACATGTTGGTACGTCTCAGTTAGACCGTGAAGACACTGACCTTTTCTATTTATATAACCCCCCCTCCCCTGTCTGTTCTCTCCTTTCCTTTCCTTGCTTTATCCCTTCTCCCTTTATTCCTCCCTCAGATTGAATGTGACCTTTGTGGCCACCGTTGCATGACCCAGGAGGGCCTCGACCTTCATCGGTTATCCCACACGGGCCAGACACCTCTCAAATGCCCGGTGAGGCCTTGCCGCCGCCGATTTACCTCCAACAGTGCCCTGGAGGAGCACGTCCTGGCACATTTCCAAGGAACGCTCAGCAAGTCCAAAAACCGACCCCGCTTCCGCTGTCAGATTTGCCACAAGGAATTTGCCTACAATTCCACCTTCAATGTTCACATGAGGACACATACTGATGAGAGGCCCTTTGAGGTAAGAGAGGTGGTGTGTGTGATTGCATAAAAAGGGAATTTCTCACAGTATTACAAATACTTTGTCCTTTTTATACAAGGCTTTCAAACCCTTTAACACCTGTATTTCAAATCGAAATCCAGCACTCCCTCACCCCCCATGGTCACACCCGTTCATAGCTGTGGCCATCTCTCCAGTTCTGGACCATGGCCATTTGTGCAGTGTGTCCTGCGGGTGTTTCCTTCCTCCCTGTGTACCTGTGATTAATGGCAGGGCTGAGTTAGGGCCTGTCAGCTCCCCTCTGTGCCTGTTACTATTCTGGGACTCTCTCCCTCTCTCTGCTGCTCTGGTGACGAGGCAGGACATCAACTATGGACCCACCCAAGCCCATCACAGCACGTCAGACTGTAGAAATTGATTTAATGTTTGTGGCTTTGCTTTGAGCCATATCTATCAGGCGTGCTAAGGATTGAGGTTCAAGGAGCATTGGTCCTCAAACACACAGGCAGTTATAGGGATGAATTTTAATTTAAATCAAATATACTGTGTGTTCCTGAAGGAACACCTATATTTGCTGAGTATATAAAAAGCAAACTCAACAGCAAAGGTTTATTAGAGTATATCTCTCAGAGATACTGAAACTGCAAAACTGACAACAGGGATTACTGTTTCAATCTCGGTGTCCCCCAGTAGGAATCAAAGCAATGCACAACAGAATTATTCTTTTGTAGTGCATCAGGTTTAATCAAGAATCTCTAGTTCATTGTCTGCACAGAGAGCGAATGGTAGGGTGGCAGGAAAGGTACAACTGCGGAATTGTTAACGTGATTACTTTATTTAGAAATAGTTTTTTTGAAATTGGCTCTCTGCTCACTGTCACTAGTCCACTGTTGCTGATCATGCTAATCCCTCGCAATGATTGATTAGTTGATCGACTGAATATTAATTGGCAGATATTCTGGTGATCAATCATGTCAAGTCAATTTATCAAGCAAATATGCTAAATATTATCTGGCTCCATCTTGTTAAATGTAAGTATTTGTTGGTGTTCTTAGTCTTATATTATATTGAAACTGTGTAACACAGTTGTGTTGTTTTTATTGTATCTGTCTTTCCCACTCTGTCTTCCCCCATACCCTGTTCTCTTCTCTCTGCTCTTTCTCTACCGCAGCTAGAAATGCTGCATCTGCAGAAAAATATAAAGAGAGGTCTCAGAAAATATTAATTGCAGTTGAGCTTGTGCACTGGCACTGTTGTGAACACTGTATTTTCTTGCCACTGTCGTACCTTTTATTTATATGTTGTCCACTTCCCCATTCTCCATCCTTCCACCAGTGCACCACATGTGGCAAGCGCTTCCGTCAGCTGCCCCATCTGCAGGACCATGAGCGCATCCACAGTGGCTTGCGGCCTTTCTGCTGCTGGATTTGCGGCAAGAGCTTCAGCGTGGCCGCCCGGCTCACCGAGCATGCCCGCACCCACAGTGGGGAGAAGCCGTACCCCTGTTCCCACTGCCCTGCTGCCTTCCGGTCTCGCTCCAACCTGGATAAACACATCCGGTTACACGGAGACCTGCCTCTGGAGACCGCTGACGAAGCAGCACATGCAGCTGAGGCTGCCCACGTCCAGAAGGTGCTGGAGGGGGCCAAGGTGTTGTCCTCTCTGGCCAACACAGGGGATGCTGATTCAGGCTCAGTGCAGACCATCTATGTACTGCAGGGGGGCGAAGGTGGCACTGAGACGGTCATGATCCCGTCTGATCAGCTCAGTGGCATAGAGGGTGCCTCACAGGTCGTCATCCTGCCCTCCTCCGTTCTGGGAACTCAGGGCATTACAGTTCCTACCATCACCATGGATGGAAATGAAATCACCATGGTCGAGACGAGCCAGTCGCCTCAGCATGCCATTGAGTTCATTGTGGAAGAGACTGTATGAAGGCAGAAAAACTATTGTATAAAGGACACCGTAGCAGAGAAAGACTGAGCGGTTAGTTGAGAATATAGACGACGGAGTGAAACGTTTGATGATTGAAGGATTGCCAGTTATATATATATATAGTTTGATAGGTTTCTAAGCCAGTTTCAATAAAAGGCCCATCCTGTGTAGTGTTACACCTTTTCTTGAGCAGAAAATGAATAACAGTGTTGACAGTGTAAAAATAATCAATTATCGGTTGACAGACAGAATGTACAGTACCTCAAATTAGTCTTTCAAACTGATTGAAAAATAGGTTGTAAAATTGGCCCTCGATTGTATACAGGTGTTTATTTACAGCCCCTATTTATTAGGGGAAGACCAAGTGGTGGCCCATTAAATGTCTTCTGCTTTCTTTATAATAAAACGCTTCAGCTTTCACACTTGTGAGCGTCCATCATTTTATAAGGTGGATGACACGAGGGCATTGCCACCATCCCATCAGATGGGATGGACTTTATAGGTCCTGCTGTAAATTGCCACTTTTGACAAACAATATGAGGTCTTCTGCTGAGAAATATATAGACCCAGTACAGCCCTTTCGAACCGCTGTGTCTCTCTTTTACGCACACTAATGTTAGCAGAAGGCAAAATGAGGTCGAATTGTGTGTATAGATCAACCCTAATGTTCCAATAATTTGTAGGACATTATGTTATTGATTGGTTTTTTGCCGTAATTAAATACAATAATAACGGATACGGCGAGATTTATGATGATTTAGCTGAAGTACAGCATTATGCAGTGGCAAGTAGTGCAATGAAATTATCCAGCACTTGCTGTATAGTTATCAAAAATAATGATCCTATTTGTGTCTGAATGGGAAGAGGCATAATATGATATAAGTTTTGCCAGCGCTGCAGTAGCCCATTATAGGCTTCTAAAGCGCAGTTTATGGCTGTCTCCCACCCAGTGATTGCTGACAGGGGGGTTTGAAACCACACACACGCAGAGGCACTCAGTCTTAGTTTGTTTTCATGTCATGGAGGGAGAAATGCTGATGATTGTGCGGGGAACCGAAATGGGGAAATGGCAGCATTTCTGCAGAGTGAGAAGCATATCAGGAAATAGAGGGCTCCTGAGGTGCAAAAAAGAAGCATGTGCCAAGAATTTAGCTGCTCTTCATTGCTTTTTTGAGAGAGTCAACAGGCAACCAGTCGATAAATACATGTTTTTTTTCCTTCCTAGCAAATTTTGAGAGCTGATATTCTGGTGAAGTGCCGTTTATCATACCTGCTGCCTAACATTGACACTGAAAACACACACAACAAACACACAGACGTGTAATGAAATTGCTGGAGGTGAAATCATGAGATTTGTATGCTCCAGGGAAGCAGTCTGACTGCAGTAAAAAGGTTTATTTGCTGTACAGGAGACATTACACTGTCTGTGTTTATTCTTTAGCTCACACTTAAGGTTGTGGTTTTGTTCTTTTTGTTTTTTCAAGGTTGTCGACGAGCACAGATGAACAAAACCTGATCCCCCCCCCCCCCCCCCCCCACAGTGATAGACAGCCCTGAAATCCAGATTTAAATATAATATTAATCTACAAGAGTCCATTAATTTATTTATGGCTTTAAGTGTGAATTTTACATGACGCAGGGGATGTTAGCGACAGATTCATCTGGATTTATGCAGGTGTGTCTATACAACGGCAACCTAAACTGTACAGTTTTGAGCAGAGAATGGGTAGTCAACAACAGGAACAGAGTGAATTCAGTGCTTCTGTTTCATTTTGTAATGACATATGAATAATGGCCCTTTAAAATAACTGTACAGTAATAATACAGCTGGCGCTTGGTGTCTAGGAGATGAATGGAACCGAGAGTATAATGCCGAAAGATGTACTGGCTGGTCTTTTTGCAAAAACTAAATTGAATCATGAAAATGTGACCCTCAGAGCGCATTATGGTGATTCAATGTTACACTGAAAAAATGCTTCACAGTATGAAAGTTGGGAGCTGTTATTTAAAAAAGACTACTCCAATGACACTTTTGAAAGGGAACAAAAAAAACCCAAAAAACTTTAGTTTAGCTGGAAAAAAATTTGTTTCACTGAAAACCGACTGAATATGCTTTTAATATTTTGTACCCGTCTGTGAAAACGCAAACACACCAATGAATACAGTGGATGATTTTTATAAACTTGATGGTGCATAGCTGAAGAGAATATAAACCACTGAATATGCTCACAATGTGATGATTTATTGCAATTTATGTATTTTAAAGTTATTCATGGCATTTGACTGTGCTGTGGAAGCAGGGAGAGAGAAGAAGGGTTTTTTTTAATCTTTCATACCCCAAATGAAATGGACATTATTAGGCAGAAGAATGTCCTTTGGTTGCGCAAGTGAAAAAAAAAAACTTGAGATGCAAATGCAGTGGCTGCTCTCACCCTGGGCATCCTTTGATTCTCAGCCATCTTTTAAATCATAAAACACTAAAATACCCCAAGTGACATCCAGGAGAGAATGTGCATATCAGCTCTCGCTAGCGTAACTTCGCCTGACATCGCAGTGTCCCTGAGGTTGGAGGACACCACCAGACTCTTGGTTTTGGCTTACACCCCCAGGTAAGAATAGTACTGGAGCAGCTAACCACGTTTAAAAACACTTACAAGTTGCTTTAAAACTTTCTGTCGAGACATTAGACGTTTCAACCTCTTTATATGCATTAATGAGCTTACCTCAGCAAGAATTACTATATTAATCACTTCTTTTTTAGCTACTGAATCCAATTCTCCATTATCT